AGAGAGAGAGAGAGACGTGGTACTTGGTTGTGTGCTAACGTTAGCCATGCTGATTTACCATCTCTCTATAAATCTTTCCAGCAATAACTCGTTGTTTATTCTCTCACGACGATGTTTCGATTAAGACTTCGAGGATTTGATGCTTTTCATCGCCTGTACGCGATAGAATAACAAGTTTTCGAAACTAACAAGGAAAGATTGATTGATATGATCGAAACAATTTTTTCAAAAACATTTAAATTCGTCAAATTCTAAGAAATCTTTCAATTCAGTCTCTCAATTTTCCACTCCTGATTTAAATCAGGAACGTAACCGCCGTTAATTTTCCAAAAATTCCTCGCATTTTATCTCGAATCCTCCTTTCAAAAATATTCTCCACAATAAATAATAATAATTAAACTATCTCCTTTGCCCAATTTCACCGATAAACCCTCCCCCCCCCCTTAATTAGCGTCCTGTTATCAATCTTCCAAAAAAAAAAAAAAAAAAAAAGAAAAAGGAAAAGAAAAAAAGAAATCACGACAAGGATCGTCCCATCCCAGAAGAAACAGGAGCTCGCAAAAAACCGCGCGCCCAACTTCATCGAATCTGATCGGAACGATCTTCAACTTCTTCGACGATCCTCTCGGCATCGGTCCCCCTCTTGTCGGATTCGGCAAGAATGTTAACGAATCGCGGAATCCCGAAGGCAGATGGATAACGGCGGTGTCGGTCGTTTCGCAGATGGGCGCTGCCCTGGCCACCGCTCCAATGTCCACGCGGAAAAAGGGGGGAGGGGGAGGGGGAGGCCCCCTCGAACCCAGGGTTCATCGAACCCGAATGTTCGAATATCTGTCGAGGAGAGGAGCACCGGTTGTACCAGGAACCGAGAACAAAGTACCGGGTACCATTCACTCAGGAGGCCCCCCCCCTTGCCAGATAAGGGCGGCCAGCCCCCCCTCCCCCCTCCCTCCCTACCTTCGTGAGCGTCTCGTCCCACAAACGAGCAGACGGAAATCGCGAGTCCTCGACGTCCTGGCTAATGATGCTGCACGTTGCCCTCTCTGCTTATGGAGAATATGTGTAAGTGCACGGGTATAAGTACGTGTGTGTGTGTGTGTATATATATATTGGTCGGTACCCCCTTCTTATCCCCCTACTTTGTTTGTGATCCCTTGCGTATTCGCCGAGGCAACGACCTCCGATCCCGATGTTTCTTTTCTGCGGATCGGGTTTGGATGGGATTGTTGGAATTTATAATTTTTTTTGTGTCGTCGTCGTCGTTTGTGTTAAAATTTTAAAGATCTTGAACGGCTTTGAATTGTTACGAAAGAAGTTTGGAAAAGAGGGAAGCTAGAAGTGAAAATGAAATTATGACATCTCGAGAAGAAATAATGACACGTAGGAGTGAAAAAATTCTAATTCAAAGCGTCTAATTACGAGCAAAGGACACGTTCAAGAGAAATCGGGATGCGTGGGATCGGCGAAAGCGTATGCATTTGGTAAAAAGGTCAATCGAGAGCTACCTTTTAACCATGCACACTTTACAAAAAAATATCTGAATCTGTATAAAAATTCAATTTTATGTTGGAATGATTCTATCTGAATAGAATATTTATAACAAAGGACGCAATTAATTATATACACGATATGTTTTTTCAACAAAATTCTCTCGATAATGAAATAATTCGAAATGAAAATCAGATAGGACATACGCACGAATTTTCTTTTTCATACGAAATGTTTTCATACAGTAGTAGTAGAGTTATCCATCAAAGCGAGACACTCTATACACGCGTATTTGATACACGATTACACGATACGCACTAAATATAAATCTCCGGGGACTTGTTCAACCAAACCGAGAAACACACCGACAAAATATAACCTCGAAAATATAACCGCTTCAACCTCGAGCAAAGTGAATACTTTCGAGCAAATCCCGCGTTAACATACAAAATGTCGGCTGCGCGTCTCGTCGGTTCGGTTTCGCCTTGGCATGGGTAGGCGAACGAAGGAAATCAGAAGCTGGACGTCGCGGCTAATGATGCTGCACGGCTTGTCCAACTGGCACACAGTAGTAGACTCTATTCTTTATTCGTTACTTTATTTGCTTCTGCTCTCCCACGTGCAGGCCGCGATTCACTCGCGTGTCGCGTTCAGACGTCGCCCGTTACCTCTTCCGTCGTGTAGCTTTTTGCTCGGGCTGCCGTACGGCTAATTTATGTACTTATGAGAGTGTAGCGGTGGGACAGAGGCAAGGGGGGAGACCGTCCTGCGCAGTGTGCGCCAGGCCTGCTCGTTCCAATAATGACGCCCTGTTCGTCGCGTAATTTACGCGTTTTTGCCCCGATGGAATGTTGTACCCGCCACGGTGATCGGTTGAATTTGTGGCTGTTCAAACGTGGCCTCCTCCCGTGACATAGTTCTTTCCAGTAGAAGAGAAGGGAAAGAAGGATCGAGGGAAAACTCAAATTCCCACGCGGTCGAGAATTATAGAGGGCGCGCAGAGAGAATCACAGAGCTCGTCTCGTACGCGCGCCATTTCTGCGAGATGAAGTTATTATTTATGGGACACAGCGCTGTTTAACGTGGCACGCGAACGCGTCTCGATAATAATCGTGTACGGTGTAATTAGCATAACCAGATACAAGAAAAACTTGGATAGTTTGGATAAGTGCGCTTGATTGGCCCGCGATGAAGATTTGTTGAGGTTAAATGGTCGATTTCGAATCGATACGTTCGACTCTGCGGTGATGTGGTTGCGTAAATGTGTTCAACTTTATGACATTTTTTGACATGTAAAATTGAGATTAAGATTAAGAGGTCGGAGAAACGGAGATTAAGAAGTTAATTTGAGGAATTAGGAAAATTTTTTTTGAATTTTAATTTTGCAGGTTAGACATTGATCTTTGAAAAATTTCTAGTCTCGTGATTCTAATTTTGTAATTCATGTATGTTATCCTATATTGAAATTGAATATCTTCGATTCAATTTCCATTTATATCTTTGCTTTTCAATATTAATTATTTGGAAATGACAGATTTCTAATATTATTCCGTTCCTCTACGATGATCGAAACAGTCTTACGTCATTCATCGTATCCAAAGCAAGCAACGATTATCGATGTTTTCGATCGTAAAATATCATCATCTCTGACACACCTTTCATTCGTCAAGGGCTTGGCCAATGGCCTTGGCTAGTTAATTGCCCGGCTACGTTCGACCATGTTATCGTCTGTTATCGATTGATAACACGTCGACCGCCAGCGAGTTAACTGTAACTTGATAGATCGTACTTCATGGATCACGTTGGTTTCCAACGCGATCGACCCTTGGGCGATCTTGGACAGGATGTTCCCATGCCGGTTGACGTTTATCGCCTTCCTTTTTCGCTCGTTCGCCGAGAAATCAACGTTGCATTACGCGCATGCTTGAATACCAGATCCTACGGATGCCGTGAACTTGGATACGTGTATCTGCTTAGTAAAATATTAATCACGCGTGAAAATATATTTCGAGGAAGATAATCTTGTATCGCTCGTGGATCGTGTCGTTTTTTTTTTTTTTTGAAAACGGATATTGATTTCTGATCGAATTATACGGGTCAAGTGCTGTTTAAATTTTGCGCAATAACTTTTCTTTTATTTTCCTTTCTTTTTAATGGATAATAAACGAGTATACTGATTTGATGATTTTTTCGTTTCAATATTTCGGAGTTTATCGAATTATTTGAAATTATTGAAATACAATCGATCGTAATATGGTTAATTCGTTCCGTGTCGTGTCGAAATCGTATTATAAGTGAAACGTAGAACTGGAACGGAAGAATGTCAACAAAAACAGCGTGATGAAAACATTCTTACTAGGCGAGTATTCACCAAGTTTATTACGCTCTACGGTATACACAAAAGAACTTGCTCAGTTTTTGCATCGTGTTACAACAGACGATTATACATTAAAACTTTTTTCACTCGATCGGATAAAAGCGAGGAGTCATACAAATCATCGAAAATAGAAATTAAATTCTTCTAGATGTCCTATTGAAAGGCTGAAATCTCGAAAAACATTCGTGTTATCACACAACTCCATTAAAAAAAGTCAATGCTCATAGAAGAGCATCGCGCCTCTGAAGAAACGACAAAAATTCTCCATTACACGTTCGTGATAAAAGCGCAGCAGGCGGTTTCGATCACAATGGCAGTTCCTGCTGGTGTCAAGTTGATTAGCCTGAGCCGTGGAGTTTCGAGGCACGTGTCCTTGGTCGGTAACCGTTATGTGGACGTGACCTATGTCGTCGTCCATAGCGGAGGCCTAGGATCAATGAGCGATCGTTTCTTGGAAGTTAGGATTATGCCCGTGGCTATGCACAATGTTCCACTCCTAACGGTCCGCCTGTGCACCAGTGACCCGAACAAGCGCAAACTTCGCCCTGCCGCATTGTTCTCCGTCCAATCAGATCACTTGGCTACCCTCTTCTCTTCTCTAATTGTCGCTAATAACCGTATTTTATTGCGCTCATTCTTCTTCTAACGATAGACTCGAGGAGAGATCTGGGAACCGTTTTGAAAGTTTTTCGATTCCATGGCTCTGTGCGGTAGTTAAATTTTTTTCTACGCATCGAGGAGGACTCTTTTAATTACACCCCACTTATTTCCAATAAAATTTATAACGTTTCTTTGGATCGATTCTTAAAGTTTAAGAAATATTCCGAGATAAAAATCAACTCAACAAATGTAGTTCGCGAAACAAGCGATTCTAAACTTCGGTCCATTCAAAGAATGTAGAAGGCTTCTCAGACGATCCGTCTTAATTCCATCTTGTCACGGGATTAGAAAAATCTCTGGACAACTAACTGGTCCTCCTCCAGTTCAATAATGCTCCTCTTCCCGTATACATATTTGACGAGGACGACATTTTTTTTTTCTCGCTCGAATTCCCCGCTTGTCACCCAATTCGATCCGCTTGAACGATTCCCCAACTCTTTTTTCAACTCGGCGAGAGTTTGGTTTCTTAGATTCGCCGATTAAGATAAATCTAATACGTGTAGAAGCGAGTCGGGGTGAGCGAGCTTATTTGGCGTGACAATTCGACGTGGCTGACGCCCTGTTAACAAGTCCGAATTAATACCCTCGTTCGAACGAGAGGAAAAGAGAACGTGTCGTGACCACGTGTGTCTGGAAGAGAGCCCACCCCACGTTCTTGGAGGGATTGGCTAAATCAGATTAAATTTTAAGCCTCGCTTAAGAACTTCCATTTAAAGATTCCTCGAAAAATCCATACTTTTATTCTCTATACTCGATCCCAACTGCGCAAAAGAACGATATCTCGAATTTCTCCTGACACGCACGCCCTCCTCCTAGATCCAGACAGATCGAACATCTCAATCTCCTCGAATGATACTTTTCCATCAGGAGTAATTCCACCTCATCACGCGCTGCTACTATGATGATACTATGGAGCACGAGAGATAGTTAGTAACGAAGGTGATAAATTTTCGCGTGTCGGCTAACAAGACCGCTCGAAAATTGCACGGCCTTTCTTAGAAATTCACCGCCTGGTCCTCGCCTCCTGGTTTCGTCTATAAGCTCTCCTCTGAGGAGAGAGAGATCCCCAGACGTAGGCGTCCAGGGACAACGTCCCGGCTTTCAGGGTGCGTTGCACCCGCCAACCGAAATCCTTGAAAGGGGGAGCGGTGACAAGGGTACGAGAGGATCATTGTGGGGAGGAAGAAGGCGCCCACGTCCGACAAACCGGACCTGTCTTCGGACGCTCTTCTTCTCGTTTCTCGTCCGACTTCGTCCGGCTACCTCCTCGCCGATAACGATTAGGCCACTCTATTTATCTCGATAAACGATCGAAGATTTTTGGAAGAACTTCTCATCGATACACACGATATCCATTTCGAAGAAGAACAAGTTTTAATCTTGGAATATTAATATCGTGGAACGAGTTTTTCTGTCTTATCGATTTTTTCGAGTGAAAATTTTCGAATTCGAAAAGCGAATTCCGTTTCGTTGCACAACTTCGATCCAAGAGGTATTTCTCATCGTCAGAGTGCACACGCATGCGCGTGGTGAGCAACGCGACCAGTCGCGTATATGGACATAGAGGGCAAGGCGAGCGCGATGCGGCACGCGTCGGCATTCTGAATCGCGCCGCTGTTTTCCGGTCTGCGCCTCCGCCGGTTCCGTTAACCGCGTTATGTGATTGTGCTAATGGGTCAAATTGCGTCTGTCACCTAACGAACACGTGGGTGGCCCTCCCAATCAGGATCAGATTCTACGTGATGACGCATCAAATTCGATTGTATCATTCATTCGTTTCTTAGGTGATAACTGTATATCATAGATGAAACGTATAAAGTTGAAACGCGCAGAATAATTTCATCTTGGTTTTTGTCACTTATTGGTTGGATTATTAAAATCAGAGGGAAGGAAATTCAGATCGGTTGTTCGATCAAATTAACAATAATCGCAATTTAGAATATTTTTTTTTTTCTTTAGCAGAGCGGATCTTCGACTCTACGCCGTTCTCCACCGACTCGAAATGGGGAGGAGAGAGAGAGAGGATTCGTGCATCAAGATCGGATCGATTCTCAAGAACGAGAAAGTAATGGCCCATGAAAATTCACGAGGTACGGAGCAGGGAGCGAGATAGGCTGCGTGGTAAGTGGCTAATCGTGATCATGAATAAACATTATCGTGGAAATTGTGACATCTTAGAGACGATTCTTGCGGTTACCTCATCCTCCTCTTCGTCCTCCTTCGCCATTCTCTTAGAACGAGTTAAGCTAATTAATTCGATTCGCGGAGTGTCAATAATTAAGCCACCGAATGCAAACCGAGAGAGAGATATAGAAGAGAGAAATATATATATATTTTTTCTTATTCTAATGTGTTTCCTTCGAGAGAAGATAATAAGATATTTGTATACGATATTTTATTAGTTATTGCGTGTACGAAACGTATCGCGAGCTACACACTCGATAATATTCGTGTGTCAAAAGTGTTTAGAGTAAGATAAGGAAACTTGTAGGTGATTTTAAAAATGCGAATATTCCGTGATCGAGATCGTTTTGTGGAATGTTTCCAAATGTGATTGTTAATATTTAAGAATATATAGAATGGAGTGTTGCAAGTATCTTGTGATAAGGTTTTGATTTGCAGAGGATGTAGCGAATTTTTTCTATTATTTATTCCGCGACGAAATTTATTTAGAATAGTTTTTGAGATTAGTTTGAGTGAATTTTTCTTCGATATATTCAAATTGAGACACGTGGTAGCCGTATATTCTTTTCCTCGATGTATCACTCTTCGACCAACGATTTCACTGCTATTAAAATTTCAAACTGTAACTAATTATCAACAAATACGTATCGTCGAGAAGGAGAGTGGTATACGACTGGTAGGCTAGTCCTTTATCCGGCCAGGTGAAATTCGAAAAGAGTGGTGATGCAGACGTGGAAGGTGCAGTCGCAGTGAAACGACCGGTAGGTAGGCTGTAAAAGGTAAACCCGTCGTACCGGCACCGTTCGTGGTCCGCGGGCATTCCAGGCGACGCCAACGTGCCCTCCTCCTCCGCCTCCTCCACCTTCTCTTTCCTCTCCTTCTTCTTTTCCTCTTAGCTTGCCCACCTTCTTCGCCTCCTTCCACCCTTACCAAACCTCTCCCAACGTTTGCCTCTCGCGATAATGCAACCGCGTTAGTGCAGTTGCCGAATCGAAGATTTAAGACTTTCACGGTTTATACCTGTTTACAGGTGTTTGTTATTGCGATTTCAAACTTATTTTATTTCTTCTTCCTCTTCTTTTTTCTTTTACACGTTTGTTGATAATGTGTATTGCGAAAAAGTGTTGGACGAATTATTGTAGAGTATGTATAAAGTCTAGGGATATTTCGTTTTTCACTCAAATTTTTCTACGGTTTTTCGACGAATGCTATTTTAGGTTAGATTGATATTTGTGATTTCTTTTCTACTATTTTTAGTAATTTCTTTAAATCACAAACAAATTTGTTACGGATCGTTATGGATTAATTGCTATTTTAAGTCGCCAAAAAGTTTGTCAATAATTTTTTTTTTTTTAAACTTTGGCAATTATTGATTTATACGTGGAATTATAAAAGTGTCGAACACTTTCCACTATTAATCGTAAGATCATAAATTCATTTTCTTGGAGAGGAAAGAAGCAGAAAAGTTTTCTCATTAAATTTGATGTTTTATATCTAAAATTTAATCTCGATCATTGTTTCTCATAATGAACAGGATCTTTTTTTGAGATAGACTTTGAATTAAATCTCTTCTCATAAATCATTATAAAAATTAATGATAAAATTGAAGAATATGTGTGAATTTTAATTGCCTCCAGTTATACCCCTCACGGATACAAAGAAAATTTATGTTGTCTCTTAATTAAACAGTATATGAATAATTTGTAATTCATTGGGCGGATATTGAAATGCAGATACAATTGTCCATGTCAATAAGTGTATAATTTATTGCTAGTCCAATCAATTGATAATAATAATTAAAGCTCATGCTACATCGATTAAAACTCATTCATTTTGATCAAAATCAACAATCTCTCTCTCTCAAAAAAAAAAAAAGACAGAGAGAGAAAAAGGGAACAAATAAAATTAATCGTTTTTCAAAATCAATCAAACATTTGCAACGAACCTTTCACATCTTATCCACGGGAAAAAAAATCTCAAAATTTTATAACGAAATACAAAGAACGAATACGGGGATCGGATTTGTCAGAATTTTAGAATCGTTGAACCAACAAAGCACGATATACATATATATCGATATATGGCTTACGTATTAAGGCTTACTCACGTGGACGTTTCGATGCTCTCCAACTGTATACGGTGGTGCAAGGCCAAGCAACAGGAGGATAAGCAGATTCATTCGATTCGTTCGTAGGCCGAACGTTACGAGCTACCGACAACCGATCTTTTAGAGCTACTTGTTATGCATTGAGCAACGTCGTATTCGGACAGGGTGTCGTTTAACGGAAGTTGTTGCGCGATAGATTGCATCCACCACCGTTCCATCTGTGAGGAATTTAATTACACGATGCCCTATTACAGTGGAGAAGAGCTATGAATTAAGTTTTGCGCTTGGACGAATTAATACGAAGGGTCAATTCTTCAGGATTTTGTTCAGGCGTTTCGAGTCAGGTATTTTCATTATGGAATAAATTGTAGTAGTTTGTGAATTTGATCGATTTATTAATGGTGACGAGGAAAAATAATTTCTTCTCTTTTTAACAATGCGTATCACGATTCGTGAGTGAAATATATATATATATATCTTCCATATTATAGTTTCGTCGTAGGTTTCCTCATGAAAAATACTCGAGATGAATACGTAATGGTCGAAACGTGCATGGATTTGGGCGTATCTGGCGATATCGTTTCGATGCGTGAAAGTGTGTCCACCCTAAAATTTCTTACTTCTATTTCGAGCGAGCATTCCAAGTGTTACCAAAAAAAAAAAAAAGAAAAGAAAAGAAAAGGAAAATACGGAAGATACCATATTTATCACTTTCAACGATTTAACGTCCATTCTTTAGTTATAGAATCGAATAGAATTTCAATTTCATGAATTTATATGCGATGGCATTCCCGTGAAACATGGGAATGATACATACAGAAGCGAAGGGAACGTGATACGGTATCAGGTAGCAAGGGACAAGCATTTACATCTGTTTATAAGAAATGAAGGATGTAATGATATACGCAGATAGAAAGTTAAATTTAAATTTCAAACTGCAAACTGCGTCAGGCGCGCCTAATAGCTTACGCGATAAAAGGAAGATAATACGTAAAGCTTAATATTCAATGGGCATTAAGAACGGAAGCATTTCGAAAAAAATTACACACTTACAATATCGAATCTCCAATCCTCTTCGAGAATGAACAGAATCTCCTCTCGAGAGTTCTGATCAAATTCTCAACCGAATCGAACGAACCGTGTCAAACCGAGTCGTTCGAACCTTTGTTCGAACTGGCCCATAGAGAGATAAAGAGATAGAAAGAAGAGAGAGAAAGAAAACCTCGCTCGATTCCACCCCATCCAACGCTTTATCTTCCTTCAGAGGCGATTCGAAAGGCCTTAGGCTGCCGGTTCGATTCATCGTTTCCATCCTCGAAACCAGAGAGAAAGAGAGAGAGAGAAAATCCCTATACACCCGATTCGCAGATTGCGAGTCTCAAGGCGACTTCTCCTCCGCTGCTCGGTCGGTACAATCGCGGTCGGTCGTATATAAGCCAAGATGAATCCCCTAGCCATCGGTACGCGTAATGTCTTCATTGAGGACGGTGCCTCTCCTATCATAATCTCGCTATGATGGACGAGCGGTCTTTATGCGGGGACGCGGAATGGAACGAGATTAAACGAACGGTCATCAATAGCGTGAAAGGCTCGGTGTATCCCGGCGTTCGAAATGGGGAAAGGGGGCGGGAGGGGACGGGCGGACGACTCAATTAGTTCGAGCTCTCTATCCTTCTCCATCCCTCGAGTACGAAACTCTTTTCTATCGCGGCTGTTCGAGCGCATGCGCGGTTTGTAGCGGTGACAAATAATAATGGCGAGGAAGATTGATCGCGACGAGAGGATTGAACCGAGAATTTAGAGTGTATCGATGGGAAGTTTTTTCTTTTTTTTTTTTATGATCGCATTATCTTCCTCGTTGAATGGAATTGTATACACTCGAAATCTCGTGTAAGAATCGTTCATATAAGAATATTTCAAAAGAAGAAAATATTCTAAGGTCGGGATTGTATTATTATATCATACATGGGAAACCTTTTCGATTGAAGCGTGCTCGGATAGCGTTACATCGAACGCTTGCAATCTGACAAAAGGATAATCTACCATCTACCATCTTGTATTATGGAAAGGATTCCTTTTCTGACTCGTTCGTGTGATTCAAAATCACGTCTATTGTAATAACGTTTCACGCACGATCGTATTTTCGAAATTCGAAAGAAAGCGTTCCACTTCTCGATAATATCGAAGAACCGATGTCTAGACTGAATGATAAATATAACCTGAATACTTATTATAGACCAGGAGAAAGCAATAATAATTGATATCACGTATTATATCATTTTTTTAAGAAAATTTCGAGTCTTGATTGATTTCGTTGCGAGAAATGTATTAAAAAATTTAATAAAGACCGATTCTTAGAGTGGAAAATTAAGGATAAAAAAATTCGCGTCGAGAAATAATTTTCCTCAATTCTTGATTTTTGTCGATCTCTTAATTCAATCCATCTTCCTGTATTCGTATTCAAAATAGGATTCTTCGCACTTCAACAACATCCAAGAAAAAAAATATCAAGTATGAAGTCGAAGAACAGATAAAAATTGTATAAGAAAAAAAAAAAAAAAGAAGAGAGATCCACGAGACGGGTCACCAAGAACTGTTCCGCCATGAGGGATGGCGATCAGAGTTTAGATCGGGTCTCAATAGGGGTGGTAGAGCGGGCGCCCCAGGGAGAGAGGGTAGGCGGATTATTTGCATTTTAATTTGCATATTAAAACACGGCTCGTCGATCAAGCAAGCTGGGCCGCGAAATATGATAGGCTGAGCACCGTGGCCGTCGCATTAACGTTGTAAAGGTGAGTTACACGACCGCAAGGCAACCCGACGGCCATGAGATCGTTCACGCATGCCGATCTTGAAATATGCACCCGTGGACCAAGATTACCGTGCAACGATAGCGCCGTTGTCTCGATCGATATCCCGACCTATCGCGTCCTTGCGATTCACTGTTTGCACAGAAACCGAGGGGAGAACGATATATGGATCTCGGGAATGGACGAGTTTCAGGTCGTTACACGCGATTTTCGTCGATATCTCGTCGATATCCGTGGATGGAATATGGGGCGAGTTGTAAAATATGCTAAAAGAAGGGGTGTTTCTTTTTTTCTTGGAGGTATTTGTTCCAAGTTTATGGTTGAAGACAAGGTTAAGGGAGGTTAAGGATCTGGGATAGTTTTGTATGCAGTGTTTTTCAATTTCTAGATTTTACAGAGTGGAAAAAGATTTTAATCTGGTGGATTAAGGTGGGATTTTCCAAAAGTGAAATAATTAATAGGGACAAAAATGTTTGAATAATAAATTAAAAAAAAGAGATTTCAAATGACTAATTAAGATTAATTTAGATTAAAAGTAAAGAATAAAACAGATATGTAAGTGAAAACAAAGCATAAAGAGAAAGACACAAGTGTTTAAATAATAGTAGAAAACTTGATAGAGAATATCTTTAAATTCGATGGATATAAAATAAAAGTCTCATTTGATCTTTCTGAATTTGAATTTGATGATAGACAGGATTGAAAAAGAAGAAAGAATTGAATAGATTTTAGCAAAGTCACAACTGTGTGAAGTTTCTTCATTTTTATTTTTATAAAATTTATTGCATTAAAAGTGCAGTTAAACGAACTTGATTATTTGATAAGAGCATTTTTATGTGAAAATAAAGAGATAGAAGAGATAATTGAGGAAAATACAAAAATTGAGGAAATATACAGAGTGAAATGCACAATGGAAAAACTTTTATATGTTTTAATTAGCTTCAGATAAACTTTCATGTTATTTTTTAATTAGATGCTATCTTGAATTTCCGTCATTATGTTTTTTTGCAGAACAACAAATCTATGATAATATCTAACTCTTTGAACGGTACAATTTAACGTTTGTTGAATGCTATGTATTTGCATCAAATGGAAGAATCTGTGTACTCACGTCCGGTGCTGTTGTCCTCCTTTTCACATATTCTCTTGTATATATAATAAAACACATTGTAACGTCTATAAAAATTTCGAAGATAAAATTAACGAATTGATGAAGTGTACTATATTCATCTTATGTGTAAGTACTTTGAACAACTAAATTATGCCTCGTAAAAAGAATTTCAATCAATTTGTTAAAACAAAATAAAAGAAAAGAATCATCTTATCTGGATTCACTTATAAAATCGCTCGACATCACACTATCCAACATTTCTCAGAACCTTGAAACATGATACCATACCAGAACATAACCTCTTTAAAAATTCAACCAAAATTCAATAACACGATACACGATATATCGATTATTTGAACCTCGATATTCATTTGCTAGAATCACAATCGAAATCACTCGTCAACAACCTATTATTTTATGGAATATTCATACGAAAATTGTAATACATGTATACCGAAACCCTAACTTTCCATAAATACCAACCAAAATTCGGTAATACGATACAGGTATCGATTACCAATTATTTCCAATGTCCATATCTATCACACTCGATATCTATCACACGTGATGGAATCACTCGATAATAAAGCATCTCTTATTCCATATACACATCTTTCAGAGACCACAGTAACGTCCACCCGACATAGGCAAGGAAAATCACCTCTGGATCCCTATAGTTGTCCGCTATTATCGTTGTTTCAAGCCGTTAATATTAATGGACGTAAACGCGTATCGGGCGGTGGAAACTGCGCAGACGCAGAGAGAGAAAGAGAGAAAGAGAGAGAGAGAGAGAATGCATTCGTGATTCTGCGCAGATGTAAATACAGAGAGAGAAAGAAGAGCATTCGTATCTCTTTGTAATGCAGAGGGAGAGAGAGAGAGAGAGAGAGAGAGAGAGAGAGAGAGAGAGAGAGAGAGAGAGAGAGAGAGAGAGAGAGAGAGAGAGAGAGAGAGAGAGAG